TCTGAAGTTTTATTATCTGCAAACCTTTCCGCTTGTTATTTTAAAACTTCTCTTCGATCACTTATGTGGAAGCCAATCTACTTAGCGCCGACTAATTCCCTTTTTTTTTCAGGAATAAAAGTCCCGCAGGATTTTTCCTCTCGGCTCACGCCGGAATAAATAAGTTTTCGATAACTCCTCTTTCTCATGCTTTTTTCTCCCCATCGGAGAAGAATAACTAATTTTTGTATAGGTACAATGTTTTTTTAAAAAATATCTCTTATTGATTAAAAAATCCTTTATGCTATAAAATATATCGGTAATTTTTTGTTTTTCCTTCGTGCTCGCCCATTATACTACGAAATACAAAGCTCGACGCTGTTGCAGAGACGCGAACATAAGGAAAAGAATCGAATAAAGTAGGTGGAGGAGCAGGAGCACCAGGGCGAGAGGCAGTTGTACATTTCTGAAACTCCGGAGTTTAATTACTTCCGGAGGTGAAATTTTACAATAGCCGGTAGGAGAGAGAAATGAGGTGTTGATTTATTGTTTTTTTTTGTGATGTAGATTGATGCTTTGTAGAAATGCAATCTGAGCAGCAGCGTAAAATCAGCGGCGTCCCAAAATAATTCTAATGACTAATACTACATTTATTTTAATAAATCGATTACATCACTAATTATACGATTAATCGATGAAACGTAACGAAATCATCGCTGTATTAATTAACGAGTAATTAGTAATTAAAGTTGATTTTTTTCAAAGGGATACCCGCCGTTGTTTCTCTGACCTGGCAGCATATCAACTTATTAAAGTTGGCTGAGATGCGATGATAGACAATTTCGAAACTTAAGAAACTTCCAACGAAATGAGATACGATTTATACATTGTTTCGCGCGTTTACCTAGAAATTGCATTCAATTCGCAAAGTCGTCGAATTGCTTTTAATTTATTTTGTTGGGATTCGCTCCGTTGCTTCGGCGGAAAAACTGAATGAAAATATGCGGGCTGGCAAGCCGTATAAATGATAAGTTCAAAATGAACGTTCCCGGTTAATAATCAATTTCGAGTTTTTATATAGAAGTTGCCTAACGTTGTTTTATTTGTTTCAGGTAGGAACTGCTTTATTCGTATAAAAATTACACCTGCTTGCGGTGAGTAATCCAAAATTCTCCAACACAAATCATTTACCATAATCTCTATTTGCCCACTATAAAGTTCATTTAAAGTCGATATTCAAAACGTACTTACCTCCGAATAGGTTTAGTTGTACGTTTGGCGAAATCGATTTAATTCCTATATAATTCGATAGTAATCGGCGCTGCCCTCGCATCGGGGCATTACCGAACAGATCTCGCCAATTGCGGTACAATTATTTGATGGAATGCTCGCATTTAACCGGCGGTTAACAAACTTTGGATTAGATAACGCGAGATTTAAGTACGGAAATTCCGGCGTGCATTCATCGAACGAAAATTCCTCTCCCTATCTCGCCCTCCCGTTTGAAGTTCCACACCCTTAATTAGTCGAAAGAAATTCGAACTAGGCCGAAGGGGATAATCGAATATATAAAAATTTCTGAGAAAAAATTGTGACCCCGACGTGATTTGAACACGCAACCTTCTGATCTGGAGTCAGACGCGCTACCGTTGCGCCACGGAGTCGATATTTCCAATAAATAATACATTACTGATAAATTGATTATTAACAATAATCGACTATTATTCGCTGATTAAGCGATATGAAATAAAAACAGTGATTAGATTACAATAAATACGATTATATCATATATACAGGCTTTGTCGAAGGTGGTCTAGAATACTGCAGGATGTATGGAGAATTCTAATTTTTATAGTACCTGTATTGAAAGAGAATAACAATAAACGAAGGAAATTAAAAATTAAAAGTAACTACCTTGTTTATGTAGCTAACTGGGTAACCTTACCCCGATTTAACATGCTCTCTTGTTTACTGGTAAAGTTTGTTTGCTTCGGTCGTCTCTCTTCGTATACGAATCGCGAGGAGCTTTTTTTTCGGCGTCGGCCGTGTTTTTTCCTCGTATTTTTCTCGTTCGAGCGGCGTCGGAAAACGCGTCGTTAACTAGGTTACACGGGTCTAGTGCTCGACCACTTACATCCGATTCCCATTAACTCCCCCGGTTTTTTTTTAAGGGGATAAATTACAATCTCGTTCAATTATGTTGTTGCTGGGAAAAAATTAACTGGGAAAGTGGGACGTCTGTGCGGGTGCTTTACGCTGCAGCGCGCGTTGATTTTTTTTTTTTTTTGTAATCGAAGAATCAATCGCGAATCGGATAATTCCGGCGGGAATGAGGGGGATTTATTTTTTTTTTTTGTAGTAAGTGTTTTTTTATTTTGATGTTCGTCCTAAAAGTGGTAATGTTTAATTCAGTGTTAAGGTCCCTACGGGGATTTTCTCGCTCGCTTAAAGGGTAATTTGTCTCGCCGGTATTATCAATAAATTTTTATTATAACACTTTATTACGGTTAATGCATCACGCGTATTTTTTTTCGAGCCTAGAATACATTTTTAACTTTCTAATTCCCGGTAATTTTTACGAGCAATCCTCTGATGTTTTGGCTTCGCTCACCTCGAATCGCGATTTCTTGATTTTTTCCCCGACGATAAGCGAGAAGACAGCGGACATCCTTTTATGTCTTTTCGCAGAAAAAAAAAGAAAGCCCTCGAAAGGGATCAAGCAAGAATGGACGTCTAATGCCCTGTTTTCCTTTCCGCACAAAGTCCGGAGCAACCGAAATCCCCGGATCTGCTTCGGGACGGCGCGTTATTTTTTTTATTTTATTTTTTCGTGGGATTTTCAATCTTATTTCGGGGCCGGTGAAACAAGCGAAATAGGAATTGTTGCGAAGTAGCGACGCCGTCGTTCGGCCTGGCCTTTCTTCTCCTCTTCGTCCGCCGGATTAGGAATCGAAAATCGTTTCCAATATTATAGATTTTTTATAGTATTTCCATTCAAATAATACTCGAGGTGAATTAATTCGAAATCGGTACACAACGTGATTAAATCGAATCCGAATTGCGTTAATCCAGTGATACATTTAGGGTAAAATTACAACGTGGCAAATAAAGTTCGTTTAATCTATTAGTTAGCTTCCGATTAATCTCGTTAAATTTTGATAACAACGAAAAAATGTCAGGATGAAATACAACAGAGTTGCGGAAACCGCGGCCATTAAAAGTTAAAGTAGCCTTCGGGACGGGAATTGAATAGGGGGTTGTGAAATAAACATCTTTTGCAAAAATGTAAGCGCCTCGGGGGCGCAAAAGTTGAAACAACGAACCAAACAAAACCGTTAATTAAAAATGAACGGTCCATTGTACGTTCAACAATAGATTTTTTTCCCCAACTTAGCCTGTTCGTTTTCCTCTATAATACATTATATATTTATAAAAGAAGAAAATCTACATGCCAGTCGATTTTATAAGATGTTTCGATAGAGCACTAAGCTTTCTTAAAGCTCTAACAGTTGAAACATTACCTACATCGGTATATGAAAGTGTAAAATCCCCGTTTACCAATTAATACATTTTTCGACCAGTACATTACATCCGGAACCTAATTAACACGTAGAGCTAAAACAGAACGCGCGATTACACCGCGTTAACAAAAGACCTTATTATCGAAACCACACTGATTAAAACATCGCGGTCGCTCGTTCGACAGCGCCTGATTAATCGCTAGAAACGCAACCGATGTCACCGTCGGATTATTTAACTTGTGATTAGTACGGGGCCCCGCCGACCTCGGCCCGTGAACTTTTCCTCCGGGCATTAATTGCCGAAATGCGGTCCGTTTGATGGCCGGCCGGGGCGTGATCGGTCCGTCGGATGACACGTCTTCGCATCGAATTTGAATTCGCCGGATTAGAACGGGTCCCCTGTCAGGGCGCGTTGTCCCGCCGCCGATTAGAGTTCGATAATCGTCAGGAACAGTTCGAATTCGTCGGGGACGCGGGGCGAAATGAACGGCTGATTGATCGCCGGGAAGTTTCGCGAACGCGCCAATTTTCAGCCCGCGGATACTCCGCCTGATTCTTCGACTTCGTTTTTTTTTTTTTGTTGGGCAAACACGTCGATTGGCCGTGATTGGATATTTCGAAATATGATTGATTACGTTCGGCGTTACAATAGGAGCGGAATAAGTCCGGGCCGACTTCGATAACGTCAAACTTCGTCCTAGGTAAATAAAATTTCGCCTCGGATGAATTTTCCCCGGTCGGATTTCGTTTGTTTTCGCTCGAGATTTTCTAGGGTTTTTTTTTTGTGTTCGCGTCGCCGAAGAGAACGTCATTTGATCGACTCTAAAGTGTGATAAATTAATTCGATGGGAAGTTTCGTGTACCCGCGGATTTTTTGGAATTGTGAAGTTTTTCCGAGGGAAAACTTTCGCGGAGCTTCGTATAAATTATCGGAAATGCTGATTAGACGAAATTTGTGTACCTAGTGGGTCTAAAAATGGGAAGGAAATTAATCAATAATTAGTTAGGAAAGGCATAAAAATAATTAAGAAAAAACCTTCTCTTATAATACCTGAGTATACGATAAACTGCTCGTCATTGAAAAGTCAACAAAAACCCCCCGTCTTATCGCTCGACGACACTCTAAAAAAATTATTTAATATTCAAAAGCGGCCGGCGGGAATCGGGAGTTTCGGAACTCGAGTTCATATCTCACATGCACCTTCGTTGACTGTTCAATTATACACGTTTTTTTTTAACTTTTTATTATTTCTTTTACCCTTACTTTTCGAACGTGTACATCCATCCCCCCTCGAATTTAATAAGAAAACTTTCGGCGAGTCCTACATCACGGGAGAAACCCAATTTATTCCTTATAAAAGAGGAAGGTCGTCTCGAGGGGCATAAAAACCCCTGCATAGATTATCCTTATTAACCGTTTGACGCAAGACGTAAGTTAAAGGCCTTTCCTATAGGGATTCGTCGAGGATATACGGTCGGAGGAGTGCGTAAAGGTAGAGAATGAAAACCCTTAGGTATATCTTGACAGGAGGCGGAAGGAGAAATCCTCATCGAGGATTGTACGCAAACTCTATCACGAGATTTTATCATCTCTTTTTGTTTATATATCTAATTTTATATTTATTCGCGCAATGGGCTTGAAGTACAAATTCGTGTCGTTTAAAAATATTCGTTACGTACCTACTAAATAATAATAATAGGTAAAATTTCCACCGACATTGCAACATTTAATCCCTTTGTTGCGGTCGCATAAATTTCGCCCTGTTTAGAGCGAACTTATAATTCCCATTAATTGGTAAATATTATTAAATTCAGTTTGACGCAGCGATAAAATTGCCCATTCGCCGGAATTATAGAACTTATCGATTCGATTTTTACATGCGAAATCGATTAAACAAATTATCGAAGAATTTACATATCGAAATTGGTAATTTTTATTAAATAACATCATTCGGAATAATAATAATATATTACAAAATTCGTGCGTACTACATCAAAGTTTACGCGGATTAGGGGGTGATTAAAATTTTCCCGAAACAATATACACGACCAATCGCCTATCGCGAAATCGCTACTGTATTTATTTGCAATTTTAAGCGTAATTACGATTGTAATTAACGTTTTGTTATTTTAATAGAAAATAGCTGTGTTCATACGACGACATTGTAAATTTATATCTAATTAGGTAAAATAATATACCTACACAGGTATTCATTAGCATATCCAAACTATTATTTTATTATTTGCTTTCTTTACACTATACATCTAAATTTTTAATACTCACTAGTTAATTAACATAACATTACTGAATTTAAGAAGATTCAATCTCAAAATAAATATCTTATTTTTTGTATTTGGCGAATATTCTCTCTTAATTTCTGTGAAATCTTCAACCTTATATGCAAATTAATCGCAATGAAATCCAATTTTTTCGCAGGATATTCGCCCGTGCCGTTTCGGCTTCGCCATTACGAAATTCAAATAAATTTTCCTCTATTCATTCGTAATTCAATTTCCTGCGATATCACCGGCAAAAACACGCAAAAAAATCCTCCTCCCTAATTAAGATTATTTCAAACGAAACATTTTCGACAGGAGGGCGAGAACGACGGGGAAAAAAAACTTCTTTTTTGCGCCAGATACAGATATCTTCGGGGGGGTCGAAAGAGCTTTTATTAAAAATCTGGAAACGCGCGGGAACTATATCTTTTCCGAAACGGACAAGACTTTTAATATCAACGGGAACGATATAATGAAAACGTCGGATGTTAAGAGGGAAACTCATTTCGAAAAACAAATACCTAAAAACGAAATGACGCCGAGAAGGATCGACTATCACGTGTATATTTCGAGAAACAATAATCCCCTACTTATCCACCTGCTGAGAATATTCTGTTTATACAAATTTTTCATCAGAGGAAATTAACTTGTGCAGAAATTGTGAACATTATTAAAATAGTATTTGCTATATCTTATACAGATCGACAAAAATAGCTGAATACAGTAGCAAAAGTAAACAAATTGCGTTGTTGCCACATTGCAACATTTTTCTTCCAAATCCGAGATAACGGAATAATTTATTTTCCCGCATTTATCCGGCAATTTTATGGTTTTTGGCGCGCCGATTCTTTCTTTAATTCGCCGATTATTTCGCATAAAAACCGAAATACGCGCAAAAAAAAGAAATTGTAAACATTATTAAGATAGTATTTGTTATACCTACAGATCGACAAAAATAGCTGAATACAGCAAAAGTAAACAAATTGCGTTGTTGCCACATTGCAACATTTTTCTCCCAAATCCGAGATAACGGAATAATTTATTTTCCCGCATTTATCAGGTAATTTTATGGTTTTTGGCGCGGCAAATCTTCCTTTAATTCGCCGATTATTTCTTTATTGCCGATTATTTCTTTATTCTCCGATTATTTCGCCGGTTATTAAAAAAAAAAAAATCCGCGGAAAAATCGCATCCGATCCGGTCCGGAAAGCGGCAGAGAGAGCGGCGGCGTGCGGGCGACAAAAACGCGCGCGTGTCCGACGCCAAATCAGGGGCGGCGCCTAAACACCCAGCCTCCTTGACACGCCGCGAAACAGCATCGCATCAGCAAGGAGCAACTAGTTGGCGGTGCACGTACACGTCGATGTTCCTGCTGTTTCTCTGTTCCGCCGTTTCGTTCTCGCAGGAGAATTGTTGCTTCTACCTTGTCTACCTGCCAACGGTGGACGGCGGCGTTGCCGGTTCTCCCTTCCGTTTTTTTTTTTCTTCTTCAGAATTTTTCATGCTAGATTTTTTTTTGAACCGTTTCACAATAAAACAAATTGGTATAAAAATATACATTCATAAGCACCGATATTATTATTGAATGAACATTAATTGAATCATTACTGACCTTCGTTTAATACGTTCTCGTACACACCAGTATTAATTATTACTAGCAAATGAAATTAATTAGCATTTTTTGGTGGAGGTATAATTCGAAATTTTGGCGGAGGCGCGGGTGTTTTCCGGGTATGGCGGGAGTAAAAGGTAGAAGCGCGGCATCGGCGGCGGGCCCGCATGCATCAGGTTGTATTGACGGTCGAAGTAGTGGGGTAGATAGGGGCAAAGGCTCGGGCGGTGCGCGTGCGCGTCCGCCGGTTATCTTCCCGAACCGGAACGCGGCGAGAACGCAGCAACAGTCCGGGCCTATCTCGCATAGTGTACGGCGGTCTATTCTACAGTCTATAACACTTCCTATACGAAACTTACTCACCACTTTTTTACCCGATCCAAGTTCACCTCGATACATCGACGCGTTTTACCCGATACGTCATTACACAATATTCTTGTTCTTCCTTTTAACGTCTCCTTTTCCTTCGAATCACACGCGCGTACACGTATCATTACACGAAAAGAAAAGAAAAAATCGAAACATAGAAAATACTTTCCTGCAAAAATTTTAATACTCGCTCCTTTTTCCCCGAGTCCGTGTGAAGTTGTTCCTTGTTTGAGTACAAATATTTTAAGTTGTGCGTTTTTGACGGCAAAGACTATCACGGTCTTGTCCAAGAATTTATTGACAATCATCGTAAGTTTAAGGTAATAAGTGTGTAGACTATACAAGTAAAGAGTCACGTTTTTAGACCGTCCTATTTAGATTATTTAATATTTAAGGTGTTTGTATTATAAATATCGAAAGGGCCTTGTGCAATATAATCGTGCCCTTTATCAACTCACTGAAGTCAATATTACTAGCGTTTTTTCGAATTTAGACAATCACTTTGTGTATATAAATCACGTATTTTCAAAAAAAAAAGGCACACCTACCTACAAGTTTCAATTAATAAACATATCTTCTGATCCTTTCAAAATTTGTTGAGACCAAAATATCGGTTGTGTGCAAAAAATTCAGTATTAGCGTAATTTGTTTATCTAGTGTTTAATCATATAGGGTAATTTGTGTAAAGTAAAAGGACATATCTCTAGTTATAATTAAATTTATAGCAACTAAGCATATAGGAATATATATTTTACTTAATAAAAAAATAAAATAAATCAAATTTATATACATATATATTTATTATAAACAATCAAAAAAATTTAGTAAAAGAAACCAAGCAAAAAGCCCAGATAATCATATAACTAACGAAGACAATCGTGCAATATATAAATTTTCATTAAATCGACAATCTCGTTAATTAGACAATCCGTTTAAAACTCATCACAATCAATTTAATGAACGCGCGCTACTAAAACTTTAAATCAAGCAAAAAAAAAACTCGAGTCGCACCATTTCGGCTAGTCGTATTCGTTTAGATTTAAGATTACCCAAGCAATCACGACGTACTTCTTCAACCATCCCGGCCAATATCCCTACGTAGTGCCCCTGTGTCCTGTCGTTCCTTGTCCCGAAATACCGCCCGCATACGCCGCAGCTCCTGCCACCGCCGCCGTACCTTGTTCATGCGGCCAATGCGCCCAGCACATGTACAATAATCACCATTTGACCGCACCGAGTACGCTCATCGTAAACCGCTTTACCGAAATCAACTATTTCGACAATCCGCCAGTGTCCACGTCGCCGGAAAAGTTTTGCTACGAAATGGTAAGGCCAATTTTGTTGTCTACATTGGTGTTGTAATCCTGTTTGTGCATCAAGCTCTCAGTTCTTCTTGTAAGTTTAGAATTTTATTTTTTTTTGAATTTTTTTTAGTAGCTTTAGTCGTCATTAAACTAGCGAACGGATAAGAGATTGTTTTCGCTTCCGGTGTATTTACGAAAATTTATTGCATCATCCTTTTCGTTTTATTATTAATTCTACTGTTATACTTTTTACGATTTGTGTAAATCGTTAAATGCGTATGTAAACGTGTGTTTTCGGAATTGCTTCCATTCACTGTTATCTCAATAATTAGCGAATAATTAAAAATTTGTTTAATGCTTGAAAACGAAATAATTTCTGATTCATTCGGATAAAATTATGCAATTAATCAGTTGAAGATGTTCGTAAGTATTTAGCATTTTTGGTAACACCCTGTATACATTTTAATAAAAATGCGAAACCCACGCGGCGACATTTTTGAACATCTAGACTACTTAATTTAACGGCTCAACACTTCGGAGAATTTTTCAATTTTACTTTAGTCGAATTCTCAACAAATTCCGAGTTAACTATATTTTTTAATGTTTTCTGTCACGCCGTACATAACGTCCCAATTAATCATCGCCTTGCCGCACTCTGTCACTGTTTAATTAATTAAATTTGTCATATACGAATGTAGCGTTTCGTGCCGTATGGAGATTTGTATAATACTTTTATTTATTAAGGCTGTAAAACCTCTCTCCGTGCTCCGGATTACAGTCATGCGAATATTTAACTAGAGAGAATATTAATTACATCTTTTTTTTTTCTTTCTTATTTTTACTGACGATCGACGGTTTATTAATGAAATTTCAAAGTCCCCGGCTTCCCGTTTTCGCTCGGCCTTTTTGGCCCTGCACTTGATTCCGGAATTCCTCTGCTCCTATCCAAGTTCTCCCCAGTTCTAATGCCTATATACTTTTGTTGCCAGTGAAGCCCTTTGATATTTCTCGATTGAAACGTTTCTGACAAGGCCCGATTATTTTACAGTGAATTAACGATTAACGAAATATTTTTTAATTTTATTTTGATGACCCGTTTAGTATCGGTTGAATGACGTCGCCGAAATCAAAGGGTACAAAGGCCGTGTGGGTATTTGACTGGGGTTGATGAAAATGTGACACGTATCGAGATCGGAAGGCCGATAATCGCGCCAGTATTGACACAAACAACGATTAGACGTGTTATATTCTCTGGATAGATGACAGCAAGTTAGAAAAGTTTATAATTAGATTTTAGGCCATTATGAAGCCATTCCAGAAGTCCTGAAATTACTTCTTAAATTTAGCCATCAATAATTTCATTTCAATTTTATTATCTAACGAAACTTTCTGTAACTAATCCAGGCAAGTTTGTTGTAGTTTTCATCGTAAATTTTTCCGTTTTCCTTTGTAATAAATGTTTGGGGAACGATCCGTATTGCCGACGCTAGCGGTGCAAAAACGATACACTTATCTTATCTCTGCTAATAAAAAATAAATAAATATTTTTAGTTTAAATTAAAAGATTGTTTGGTTAAAACGATAAGGTAGTGTAATTTCGAGGTATAATTTTTTATTGCGTCTAAACGGCCAATTAGTCATTGCGATCTAATTAAATGTTTTACATCGAATACGAGGACATTTGAAATATTCGAAAAATTTATTGAAAAGAGTAAACAAACTGCAATTATCATCAGATGTTTCCTACTGTGAATTTACAGTTTATATAATTTTTGTAAAACTATATTTTTTTATGATTTATGCTCCAATTTCTTTACAAAACAGATGCTTTTTCGAGATGTATCTTAAAATAGAATAAACAAAATCCCATACAAGCCTAGTGTGCTGGTTGAAAATATTTTCAAATTTCAATAAATATTTCAAAAAAACACTACAAATACCCGCTCGAATGTAATCTCACCTGGTTTTGTTCGGAGACGGCTGAAACGAAAATCCGCTCATCCGGAATCGGACACACATACCGAAAGAAAAGAGAAAAATACTTCAATCGCAAACAAACAATTCGCGTGCGTTTCCATTCCTCTCCCGCTACTAAACAAACACACAAAACTTTTCTTATCGACGTGCACATATACAATACATACATAACTTTTCCAGCCCCCGAATCCGCCTAAACGTTTCCCAGGTACATGTAATTTCGATTGGAACTTAGAAGGGGCTTTTCCTTCTGAAACGGACGTATATAGACGATATCGAGAAATTGAATCAGACGTTATAAAATAATATATCAATCAATTTGCCTCGAACACCGACTCGGAGTCGACGCATCGCGTACGGGTTTCCGCATAAAGGAAGGAGGAATCGGGAATTGTTTACGGACGATCGACGAAAAAGAGATGAAAAAAATAAAACGCGAAGCGCGGAAACGAGCCCGATTGATCGTCGATAAACCGACGAGATATTCGCGAATATACATATTCGCATACACAAAATCTGCTTGGATATACTCTATAGGTATCTAGAAATCCTTTTTAGAGTGTTTTAACGTAGAATATTTGTAGCTTTACTCGCTAATTATTGATGAATCAAGTTTTATGAAATCGGTAAAATAGGTATAGAACATGTCATTAGATCTGAGGAAAGTTTCGCGAAACTTTGCATACTCGTGTACTCTTAACTAGCATAATCCGACGAGGGGCATAAACGTCCTTAAATTATTTAACGATAACGATTTTTGCCATAGAGACGCCTATCCGATTACCGAATGGCCAATCAATGTTCGGGCTTCTTAACGACGAAACATCTCCTTGGAATTTTTAGACAAGCTCGTTAAATCGAGAGCAGAGCTTTCGAGAACTTCATCTATACGCTGCGCTATATATTTTTCGAATGCGAGTTTTTAACTAATATTCCGCGTATAATGAGTTTGTTGTAAGTGGTATATAGATACAATTTCTCGTAGCCAATTTGAGATTTCGAAGTACTACATAGAATCTACCCTCTAAAATTCTGAATAATTCAACGGGCGAACGGGCGAGGCGTCATAAACTCGGCAAAAACGAAATTATTTCATTTCGAAACGGCAAATTGCTTATTACGGTTTCTTTGCCGACTTCTCGCCCGCCTCGACCTTGCCCCCGAAAAATTTATAAATTTTTCGCTGCCGTGCGTCTCGACGCTCTCTCTGCCCATCGCTCATCCCATCAAATATTCACGCCGAATGTACGGAGGCCTCCTATTTAGAAAAAGAAGAACTCCGCAAGTTTATCTGCCAATTTCTGCACGTCATTTATAATTCATTGCGATATTTCGATTGATTTACGGGCCGTTTTTGTTCGACGGGAATGTTCTTTTATACACCGAAAAATTTACTAAGTCAATTTTCGTCTTTTTATTACACTAAAATAGAAAATTATGTATTTTCAATACACAGCACAAGTAGGTAGAAGTAGGTCAAATGAATACTTTAAACATGTTGACAATTTTAATAAAAATATGAGAAAACGGGAGTTTATAAAGCATTAAATATAAACTATAAACAGATAACATACGGTAGATTTTTTTCGGACACATTCGACTCTTCCATTCGGTCCATTAAGTCCCATTTCTTGTCATTAAATCGAACAAGGCCCCATAAACCGATATCCAGGAGCGGAACTACATTCCATCCATTTGGATTTTCCTAAATAATTGAATAGAATCGAGTGCTCGACGCGTTTCGGGCCTAGAGAATATAAGGTAGTGGAACCCTATAGATAAACAGGGTGTTTCAAGGTACTTTTGAAAAATTGAACAATTTATTCTTCGATAGAAATTTATACAACAATGATGAAGTATTACAATCGAAGTTTATTTGGTGGATAAAAGTTGATTTTGGTTTATTTATCGTGTATTAATGCTGGGTCACCCGGTATAGGATGGCCGATAATACGGCGGTGGGGCGCGTATTATATGGAAGCGAGTCGTTCGGGGATAATCTTAACCTCATGAATACAAATATTCGAATTAGTATTCGACTTAAATTCGCGTATATAAATTCATATCCGGTATAAACCGGCAGGCGATTCGGATGTTGCCCCGGAGGCAATACCCGGTCACTAAACCAGTATTCCATAGGTCTATACGCTTCGGTTCATCACAATAAAAAAACACCAAGAAGCCAATTTATCCTTCTAGTTTAGTAGGAAAAAAGCGCATGAATTAATTGTATTTACGGAGGACTGATTAGATTTTAAAATCGCGCGAATCCCTATCGGGTACAGCACGATTTCTTCTCGTAGAAAGTGAAACGGCCTAACTACTTATTGTTGTTTAACGCTCGGGCGTTTCTCACGTATATTGTCTTCGGCCTTTCGGTGCAGACGTGAGCCGATGTTGCGAAACTCGCTGATCTATCGCGAACGTGATTCTACAGTGGAAACCGTCGGATTAGAGGAGCGTCGGGGAAATTTCGAAAATTCCGGCCCGGCGAAAAAGTAAAGCGAGCGTGAGAGAGCCGTTTATCGAGGAGCGAAGGTGTCGCGGTCACGCAATCATGAAAGTTTTATGCGCCCCCGGCCCGTTTCGTCTAAGACTGTTTCGCACATCTTTCGATTTTATAGTTTTCACGATGCAACGACTGTTTAAATATCCAAATTTTTTGCTTTCTTTAACCTGGATATAATTACTGTGTATAAAGAATTAAGGGCATTTTAGCGAAGCCACTTAATATACACTTACTTAGGCAGGGTAGTATTTAAGTTAATAAGATTAGAGTCGAAATAATCGCTTTATGTTTACGTACTTTATGCGCCTAATAAACGAGCTTATCTGGTTGAACATTTCGGGCGATCTCTCGTCATAAAATGCGTTTACAAGAATTTTTTATTAAAACCGAAGTATATTAAATAAAAAAAGGATTCCTTCGTTCGAAAGAAATCCTATGCGATGCCGGACCGGGACCGTCGACACCCTTATCGATCGATTTATGTACGAACTATTTTCCTTTCATCTTTTTCATCCCCTAATCTTTATTCGGCCAAACAAAAAATGCGCCGGTGATATTTTTTAATCTAACGTCGTAAAAAAAAGGAGGAACATAATGCTGCGACACAACAGCGTGCCGACGGTATATGAAATGGAAAATTTGAAAGGAAAATACCGCAAATATCATACTTTCTTTTCCCATCGCCCCGTTCTCTCTACCCCGAGATATTCGAGGAATGTGTAAAGGTCGATTTTCTCGATATAGTGTCGGTTTTTTTTTTCGTTCGCGTCCCAAACAGAACAATAAATTGAATTTCCCAACGTCCCAATATGTCCTCGAAGATATAGGAAACACTCTATCGCGTTCAGTCATTCGAAATTTTAATGCAGTGTCTCCCATCGAAGCTTCACTTTTTTTGTATAAATTCAGTTCCCGTTTAAAAAACGATATTTAAAATTAAATGATTCTATTTCTTACACTCGCATTTCTCGTATATTTTTTATCAGAAAAAATCTCTAATGGTTTTATTCGGGCGGATCATTTTTTATGTTTTTTTGCGCGTCACTGGCGGGACGTTTGGCGGAGGTGCGATCAACATTCTCGCTCGAATAAGCTGCGAATGTCCCTAGAAAAGAGGTATAGAATCGAGAAGGACCACTTGTGTGTGCGAAATATCGACTTCCCTTTAGATTCTCTTGATTGATTTTTAGAAATCGAAGGATCCCAGAAGTGAAATAGCCGACTAGCTTTTCTAAAATGTAACCGATACATTCGTTTTGTAATACTTTATTTTTTTATCGAATCGTTACCTATAATTACGTTTGTTTTGCAGGTACGTAATACCGCCGAATCCGTGCAACTTCACATCGTGGTAAGTCGGAAAATTGCAATAAAAAAAAACTGTAACCGGAGCGTACACACGAATTCAATTTCCCACATAAATTACGGAATTAGATTTAAGTGTCTAATTAAATTCGCGTGCAATTAACGGCGTTAAGCAGATCTCAAAAAGGATGTTCGAGTTCGTTTACCTCGCTACAAACGTTTTCCGTCTCTATGCCTCGCTAGAGTCGTGCATTCGTTGCATTGGCGTCCCTGCAATTCCGCCGATCGAATCCCCTAAAATTTACACCCTACACAGCATTAAAGTTTTCCCCCATTTTTTCATACTTTTTGACATTCTCACATCGATCAGAATTTTTGATTTACATACAACGTTGCCGCGAATTCCTGAGATCTACAGAAATTTCCGAAGAGTCCCATCGTTAACAATTTGTAACGGTTGAACGTCCGTGACCCTAGACTTTTATGCACGAATGAAAACAAACTTTTCTCAAGCACGCCGGTAGAACGGCCGCGAAGCCGTGTATACGATAAGAATCTCCGGTAATAATTGAACAAAAGAGGAAAAGGAATTATTTAAGGTAGTCGCTGGTAATGACGGAATCGTTCCGGAGAGCTTAAGGCGACTGTGTGCGCGCTCATGAGGCGCATTTTTTACTGAATAATCGAAATTAAAATGCATTAGTAGCGTTTTTGTAAGCGCCGAAAATAGGTTGGAGTAATCCTGTAAATGAATTACGGAACAGCCCTTATCTGAAACCCTATGAATCAAGTCGATTTATAATCGCCTTTATATGAGTACAGCAAGAGCGAATCCATCAAAGCCGGTGGAAAATTGTATAGATAACACGAACTTTTCCTTTTTGCGGAAAAATAAATTGATTTACTACTTTTTTAAATTGATTTATTACAAATATTAATTCAAATAAGTAGATTCAAGTTCTTGGCTTCTTAAAATTTCCTCTGTATACAGGATGACTCACGCAATTCCAATTTTTTAGTTGGTCTCTTTCAGGAAACGTTTCACAATTAATACAAATCATTCTTGCTCAATGAGTTCGAACTAGTCCTTGAACCCTATACAATTTCCAGGACCGCATTTAAGACATTTGCTCGAAATTCCATCAAATTCGTTACCCGTTTTCTATTTCGATTCGAAATTACTTCGTTGTAAGCGTTATGTCGTGTTATTTTACACATATTAAGGCCGTAGAAACGTGCCCGATACGGTTCCTAAACCCTCCGTTGGAATTTCTCCTATGATTACCAGAGGATAAACGAGACGTACGCTCGTTTCCTATAATAAAACGAATTACTATTGTTTCGAGGAAACTAAATTTAATTGTAGCATGTACTACTAAACAATTACCGAGTGGTTTTTTTTCTTCTAATCCGAACGTACGGAATGGATAACAGATTTAATTGTGATGCGAAAACGGCAATTAAAAAAAAGTTATGTTCAACGAGGAGGGTCTAACGAACCTTTGCGGTTACGTAAGGTTATTTTACGAGGTGGATTCTTGTTTTGTTTGTTGTTCGGACATAATAATACCTTTGTAATAGGTTCATCGAGTTTTTTTTTCGGTCCGGGATTATAATGATTAGGTACATAATAGAATGGATTTGAATTGTAAATATGCTTGAATATATTTTTATCTAATTTGAAGAATGCATATTAAATTTAAACGATTGTAGCAGAATTTGTCATCGATTATATCACTGCATTGTTATGCGTGATATGTAAGGTGTTTTCTATTAAAATGCGTTTTTTTACTTGCATATAAAGTTCGGTAGAATATTCTAAATTATTCTAAAAAAAATGTATTTGTTTTACGTACGATTTTATCCAATTTTCGCGGTCTAAATACGTATCGATTGGATCGCAAGATATTTCTCGTATACGAGCATCAATTATATTTTTTTTCGGGCCAACTAAGCCGAGAAGGGACGCGTAATGTACTGCACCAGAAGTCCCTCGGGCCCTCGATTCAATACACAACGTTCGACTGACAGCTCCTAGGGGTCTCCTATATCAAATTTGATGAGTTTTTAATGGATATAAATTAGTCCGCGGAGCAAAACATTTTCATTCACCGGTTTGACAGGTTTATCGCGTCGTTCTGTGGTGTTTGTATGCACCCGAATACACATCGTGCGTCCTTCCTAATCGATTAATATATTCAAAGTTACCGATACAATAAGTCCTGTTGCAATTTCCACGCTTTCGGGTGGTCACGGAAAGTTTGCCTACCCTCCAAACTAACTAACGAAGGTTGTAAAGTGTGTATATATGTAGGTCTTTCGGTCCGCGTTTTCTCCATTTAACTCGCCCTTTTCGCCCCCGGAACGCCTCCGGTCTCGCGCCCTTCCCTTATCGAGTTCGAAATCAAATTCGGCTTCGGCATTGCCCGTAAATCGTTTGTATAATTCGGATTATTAGTTGATTTTAATGAAACGGTTCGGCTTAATTTGCGAAATTGGATGGGATTTCGCCGGAGTTTGTCATCGAGCGAAAATTACCCGAGTCGAATGAATGCATGGAGTCGCTTCTATATTTTTTTTTCGCTATTGCAGTCATTTTTTGCGATAATTTTGATAACGAAAGCGACTTTGTAAGTTATTTGGCTAACCCGGTTTCTTTCGGGAATATATCTGTTGGATTTTTGAATTCCCGAACAATTCTTATTGTTAAGGGAATCGCCGAAACGAGGCCGGCATATACCCTATTATCAAATCACACGTATGTTTTGTGATTCTCCGGAGAATAATAATAATTCGTCGGATCCCGAGTGGGAAATCTTTTGTGCCCTGTTAAGTCCTTTCTCTAAAATGGATTTAATACCGCTGAAAGGTTTTTGTATGGATTTGTAGGCTTCAATTTGCTAATGGGCCGGATTATACTCGTTTTCTTCACTATTTCCTCGATATCGTTCGGTTTGTTGCAATTAATAGAATTAGTAAAACGGGAGTTTATAATTTATTATTCGCAATTCGCGGAATACCTGTTAGTTTTCGATGTAAAATTTTATTTGTTGAATTCTTTACGTTCGTTTTAGTGCATTCACCTATAACTCGAGCGATTATTATATGATGAATCGTTTATTTTCGTCCTTGATAGTATAATTTCGATTCTTGAGTCACCGACAGAATAATTATCATTTTGTGATGATTACACTGATGATTGTAGTTAATAAATTATGAATATCTATCAATGTTATATGATAAAAAAAATGGAAAATTCCGAGTTTTTTATTTGGCGCGTTTCGAATTTGTTCGAGTTCCAGAAGAAATGCGAAGTCTCGCGTTCATTCTAAATTTAAATGTATTTGTAAATTCGACGTGCCGTATCGTAAACCAAAATTTACTAATTACCATTATCGTTCGACGTCGAACGGCGTTTTAGAAGATGTTTTTAGAAACCGAAACTAATAAAACCGCCGGCTATTATTAAAACGATTCTCCGAACTGCAGTGAAAACCCGCGTTTTTCGGCCCGTTTTCCGCCACAGACGCAATCGCCCAATTTCCCGTCGAACTAACGAATAACACGGATGGATTTTCATAATTCTCCCGCGCACTTATACCTCGAGAGAAGAATATCCGGCCGCCGCGCATTTTCCGCCCGGAAAAACTAAATACACCGTTTGTCGAATAGTGGAAAATTAATAATGCAGACACGACGGTCTGGGTATTATATAAATTTTTGAATCGCTTTTCCAGCGGACGAGCGGTTATAGATCTTCTCGCTTTATACCCACTAAATACAAAGACGTTACCTCCCCGTTACAATATTTATTTACCTCGCAAAATTTTATTGTACAAAAATAAATCGTCTAGGTATAATACTTGTCGTGATGTCACGGTCTTGTTATCTCGAACGCACTATATCATTCTAAATAATTTTAACACGTAAGCCGCCGCGCTTATTGAATTAAATCGTCCTCCACCTTGGCGACTGATCGAGTTTTGTGCGTGTATTCGAATTAAACGAAAGATTAAACGGCGCTTCTCTGGCACCGTCGACGACTAAATCAGGCGAAATCCGCTTTATTTGTGACCTGTTACTCCTCCGGCGGCCGCCATCTATCATCCACCCGGATATTACACGTCCATTTAATTTCATTTCGTATTTAATTCCGCATTAAAATGGTTTCGCGAGATATATGGCTCGGTTTCTGGTCCCGGAGCAAGTCGCGATCCAATTGTGTTTGCTCGTGTATACCGAAAGAATTGTTCATTTTCGTTTAGTAATCTAACTAGGGTGAACTGAAAATGTTTTCACTCCTCTCCGTAATTAGGAGTGATTTGTTTTTCTAATTTTTCCAGCCGGTTTAGTCATGAAAACTCGGTAATGTCGATAATTTTTGAATGAAACAAGGTAAATTTTACACGCCGGACGTTTTGTCGACGTTACTGCTATGCCGTGTTTATAGAAAACCCCCCATTAAATACACGAGTACATCTGGGTCGCTTGTTAATTATTTATACCCTTTTTGTTGGGTCGTTTGCCGTGGAAGAAAAAGAGCCCTCTTCGCCAACAGGACTTGTATAGCCATTTTCGTGTAAATTTTCTTCCCATTGTACGTTTACACAAATAATATTTCCTTGTTGATTTATGTAGGTATTACCTGCCTTGTTTTTATTACATTCCTCAATAACTTCGGCTATTTTTTAAGGAATCTAAAGTACCACAAATTAAAGTACCATCCACGATATAATTCACGTATAGGCTAAATATCCGGTTATATTTTTTTTTGGTCCGTCCGGACCCCCCCGGCCCCGCCGGTTCGGTACGGCCTTGGAAGTATGTGCGTACTTAGTTTCTATTCGTTGAACTTGACTCGCAGCGCTCGTTGTTTCGTTTCAATGGCGTTAGCCTTGAATTAGAAGTGCGGCCAAAGACCCGGCTTGGACTCGGTTTTTCTTCCGAGCCATCTCGCGTCGCTGCCGAGCCTCCTCTTCCATGGGAAAAGAATTTTTTCGACGCGCGTTGTTTAGCTCAGCGATGCCTTCGAAGATGTCTTCTGGTTCCGCGGCAACGCCGGGTACTTGACTGTACCTGGGGAGCTTTGGAAATTCGAGGTTTCTTGATCTGTTTACGAGTTAAAATAAAGTTACCATTTCATACACAATTAAGCGTTCGTTTCTCGTAATATTCGTTAATACAACAATAGGAATGTTCACAAAAAAAATAAATCTTGTTTAAAACTCATCAAATTATTCAGAATAGTCATATAAGTATATCTACAAAGTTTTACAAAAATCAAAAAATCCTTAGTATAGAAAAAACGCAAACGAAATATTAATATTCGTTTAAACGCACGAAACGCTCTCTGATTGCTATGACGTCACAATGCGGAACGGGTGGCACTCGAAAACATAAGTGGTTCGGTTTTAAGTTAGGTTTTAACGATAATTTCGGAGCTTACGGCCATTCTGCGTGTATCGTTTATTGTGATTGTTTCGACGCTTGTCTGTCTTGTTGGGATTTATCGAAATTTAAATTTAGTAAGGTACATTAAGGCTTGCTAAAATGGAAGAAGGTTTTCAAAAGGCGGACTCCCATAATCTGCCAACTGTGGATGTTACTATGGTATCCGATTTTTTGATAACGTGTCAAGACTTAAATCAGCCTCAATCCAGAGGTGTTAAAGCAAAACAGTGAGTATTTTTTAAATTTAACTTGTTAAAATAATGTTAGTTCATTATATAAATGTTTAGCAAAAACTTCTTAGTTTCGGAAATATTTCTTTTTTTCTTTATTTATTATACTTTATTTTTTTTTGTTATGAGATAATTTATAAAATCTTAAAAAAATATATTTTAGTTCTGCAAGAGACAGTTATGGGGACTCAGCTATCGGTTATGTCCAGGTTAAGAGAGCAAACAATAAGTGTATCGTTAAAGCCAGAATTTGTCCAGAGCATAAAGTTAGGGACAAACCATATTTCGTTGCTGCTACCATTGATGAGGAAGTCGAGAATATAGAGGAAGTGATTTGTCTGAGTTGCGTAGCTGCCCTTGGAGGATGCAAACATGCTATTGCATTTTTAATGTGGTTGCATCGTAGATCCGAAGAACCTGCTCCAACAGAGGTTACTTGCTATTGGAAAAAGCCAGCATTATCTCAAGTAGGTTCAGTTGACAAATTCATCGAAGCAGAAAATATTGGAAAGAAAGTAAGGCAAGCCGATTTAACTCTTCCGGACAATATTGGATTTTTTGAAGAAGTGTGTGAAGTGGTTAATAGTGAAAAATATAAGTGCCCCATTAATTTACATTACGGTGAATTTGACAATGTTAAAAAATTATCTTTGCATCAAATACTTGTTGATTTTGTAAATAGCAAAAACGAACAAACGGCAGACAGTTTTATAAATTTTTGTAGTTTAAGCATGAATAATGAGGCTGTTAAACAAGCGGCAAAGCTAACCCTTACGCAGAGCGAAGACTCACTATGGTTTGAGCTTCGATATGGGCGTATAACAGCTTCAAAAATATATGAAATGGCAGTTTGTAAAACACCAAGTGGCAGTTTAGTCAACCAAATTATTGGAGTATCAAAAAAATTTAGTAGTCTTGCAATAAATAGAGGTAAAAACTTGGAAAAGTTAGTTCTGTTAGAGGTTCAGAAAAAAATTAATGCCAAAATAAGAAGCTGTGGTTTTATTATTCTAAAAGACTTTGGTATAATCGGTGCCTCACCTGATGGCCTAACAGAAGATGCTGTTATTGAAGTGAAGTGTCCTCTATCTAATAAAACTTTCAAAAACTATATAAATAAAAAAAACGAAATAAACAAAAAGTTCCTGGGACAAATTAATTTACAAATGTTAGCAACAAATTTAAAAAGAGGTTATTTCTGTGTTGCTCATCCGGATTTTGAGACAACAAGTGAATGTACAGTAGTAGAGGTTTCATTTGATCGAGACTTCACCCAATCTATTATTGAAAATTCAATTTCTTTTTGGAAAAATAATGTATTTCCCTTATTACTGGAAAGCTGTACTTAAATAAAATTATAAAATAAATAAACATATAACTAATTATTTATTGTAGTTTGTATTTGTTAGTACCTGAGTAAGTAAATATAAGCCAAATATTATTAACAAAATTTTTATAAGTATATACCTATTTCTATAAATCTACAAATGTGTTACTGTTTGATTATTGGCTGTTGTATATTAATTATTGCACAGGCTATAATTATAATGTTATCAAGTTTTTGAACTAAATCTAAATTAATAGTTGCATGAGGGCTTAACATTTTAAAATCTCTAACACGTTTTATAATTCTTTCAATGTGAATCCGAACACTAGCAATTCGTTTTGTAAGTAACACATCATCTTTTGTCATTTGTTCATTATTCGCAACACTGGGAGGTCTCACCAAACTACATTTTTTTTTAAATAAAAGTGTCTCTATTTTTTTAAATCCTCTATCAGCCATAACTACACTATTTTCAGGAAGTATATCCAAAAAACCACAATTTTCAAATATAACAATATCACTAGTTCGACCACCATATCCTTTAGAGACAAAATTAATAAGACCATCTGGAGTAGAAGAAATTAAATATTTTATGGTGTTGCATTTTTTGTAATCTGACCAGGTTAAAGCTTGTTGATGGGCTGAACTTGGTTTTTGAATTTCAATCTCTAAACAATCTATTATAGATTGAACTTTTGAAAATGTTATTCTAAACTGAATTGGAAGATTTTTCTTTATAGAAAGTTCACTGGGCCAAAAAATCATTTTTTTCATTAAATGTGCCAAAGTAATTAGGGTTCGTTGAAAGATTTTACTAGCATATGTCTTCGATACACCAAATAAATCACCAATTTTTTCAAATGAATCATTAGTTTTGATTTTATATAATGCCAAATATATAAAATGTTTTTTTAAAAGTGATTTTTTTTCCAGGACGTCCAAAATGTTTTTATTTTCTTTAGGGATGCCAGTATACATTCGCAACTTTGTTTCTATAACATCAATAAACATCTTTCGAAATTCTATCTTCTTATTTTGTAAAGCCTGTTTATCTTCTCTCAATTTATCATCTTTTTCACTACTATCATTTTCATTGCTTCCTTGACCTGGTTCCCAAACATCTAAATTTTCTGCAGGTACCTCATTGTCTATGCTACTCGAGATGCTACTATTACTGTCAAAATGCTGTACACTAAGGCCTTTAACTTTTTTCCTTGGAATAGCAGGAACATGAAAGTTTATGGGAGACGTGGCCATATTTTTACACATTTTTCCCTCAATTATCTCTTTGTCGAGGTTTACCTGTATATGCTTACTCCTGTACCGAAGGGGTTTGGCCTGGCAACAGAAGTCACTTTTTCCAGGAATATTTTCTGTTATCATAGAGGATGTACTTGGCTCAGGTTCTGGATCATTTGAAATATTTTCAGGCCTCGTTTCAGACATAGCCTCGGGCACAGCAGGTATTGCAGCTTCTTGTAAAATTTCAGAAATCTTCCTTTTTCTCGCTCTTTTTTCACTACTTTGACGAGGGACACTAACTTTTTTATCCAGCTGGCAAGGAAAAATATGTGGTAATACTTCCGGCTTCATGCGAATGTTAACTTTGCTTAATTTGTACTCTAAGTAATTTTCCATGTCTTCGTCGAGCTGAAAAAAATCAAAATAAATACCTTAGTACCTTTCGATTTTTCCACGATTTTTCTATTTAACTTTGGCACAAACTTTAACAATTCTTACCTTAAAATGATCTTCACAGCAATAAAAATGTGTTTTTATTGAAACTTCTTTAAGTTCTCGTCTCACTGCACTAAACCACCGCTTTTTTTTTTGTAAATTGTTAGGTACACTTATAAAAGTCTTTTCTGGGTTATTTATTGAAGTATTTGTACATTTAGGTACAAAGCACCACTTTTTTCTACTGGGTTTAATATTGCTAGAGTCTCCCATAATGAGTACGATTTTTTATTAAAAGATGAGAGTAAATTAATTTGTAAGACAACAGTGTGAGTTTCGACCTTATTTTAACGAATATATCTAACAGAGGTATCCCACACTGCTTATCTTAATATTTCGCAGAACACCCCCTTTTTCAATAAGTTATGGGTTTTTAGAACAAGTCGATCGTTTTACATTTCGGTTTCACTCAATAACCAGCCCGAAATTATGACGTGCTAACGGATATTTATTTAGGTACCTACATATTTCTCACATTATTTCCAGCTCTTGACATAACTTACTAGTTATAGTAAATTAGTAAATACATACGATACTTAGCATTAATTGCATTTACGCCCATATAATCAATTATACCTAACGATGAATCAATAACAATGAACTAATCACCAGAAATAAATAAAAACAAAATTTTGAACCTATAAAAGCAATGTAAACAAAAGTTACGTTCCGCAAAGTGACGTCACATGCGCTACTCTCGCGACAGGGAGCCGTTTACTAGCCTCGTTAATTTCGGAGTTTTTATTTTTATTTTATAAAAAAAACCGGAGAGTTTTGAGGCGTTATAACGATTAATACGTGTTTTGTGGCCTTAAACCTACCACTTTTTATTACAATTAAAAAATAGTGAACATACCTATTTCTTAGTTGATTTGTAATTCTGTTATAATATTTTGATTATTAATCGATACTGAGAGTATTAATCAAGTTGTATACACGTCACTGTTTTCATTAAATCAACGCCGTATTCACTTTCATAGAGCTTGTTTTTTTTTTGTTCATCGTTCTTCTCCTCTCATTTTATATAAATAGTATACACCGAGTATGGTATGTATTACGACACGACTGGATTTGTGAGCGATCGTGCGTTCTGGTCTCTCTCTGGTCAACCGGAGAGTTCGAGGACGGTCTCTTGGTGGAAGCACCGCCGAGGCTAATCGGTCCTACAGTGTGGATAAAGCGTAATTTATTTCTCCTCTGCCGCTCTATTTTTATACATTGTACGGAGTCGGCCGAACGATTAACTTTTCCGGAGTATGTAAATTCCGGAATTCATTTAAAAACTTTCGTAATGTCTTTTCGTAATGGAATAAGCCGCCTTCGCTTTACGACTCGTAGAAAATCGCCGGCCGGAAAGTCGATA